GCTAGCTCACGTTCTCGCTCTCTGTCGCTCGCTCTCTCTCTCTCTCTTTCGCTCGCTCTCTCTCTCTCTCTCTCTCTGTCCATTTCTATCAGCTTTTGTCGCTGCTTCTCTCTATCTCGTTCGCCCTATGTGCGGCCATCTCGTTCGCGAGCCACGCACACTTCCGGCTTGTTGATGTCTCTGTCTGAATATGTTTTTGTGTGTTGCATTTGGTGGTCGGCTGTTTGTTGTGTCTCTCTGTGTGCTGGTGTGTGCGTTCAGCTGTCTGTTGTGTGAGTGAGTAAATGTTAGCGGCTGTAAACAACAATGAACTGACGACGACGTTCGATACGCTCGACGCTCATCATTGTTGCAGCAATTTCTGACCAACAGCTCGGCCCAGGCAGAGGAGAAACACCACACACACACACCCATAGCCACACACACAGTGGACACTTTCATAGTTTGTTCAGTCTCAGCCCCAGTGACAGTTCCAGTTCCATTGCAATTGGCAAGTCGCTGCAGCAAGTACCAATAGAGCGCGAATGGTTCCATGCCAATTGGCAACAATTTGAGTGTTAAGTTTGAATGACAAAATAATAATTATTATAAGCACAGGATGCACTTATCATAAGCTAACAACACAAGCACCAGCTAGGACTTGCCTGCAGATCGAATTTGAATGTCAAACTCAAATTTATTTAGGAGCTTTAGGGGCGCATGCTGAGGGTTATCTCAGGTTTATGGTCTCTTCTTATTAGGAATTCATGCAGAGGCAAGTTTATTTATTTCGGCAAGTAATCATGGCATTCGAACCACTGTGCTGTGAGGAAACTATTTACATGATGCTCATATTTATTTCGCGCACTTACGAGTCGTCCGCAGCTATCAACAGCATCCAGGCGCCCATCCACGCAGCTATCGGGGAAGGACAAAAGCTGGGCCAAGGCAAAAGTGAAATGAATGCAAATAGAAAAGGAGTCGCAGAGTGTCGAGTCTTGAATCGAACCGAGTCGAGTCGAGTCGAGATTGGGTTGAGTTTCGGAGTACGTGACGCAACGTGTGCCTTTGCATTGTTGTCCAGCTGTTTGTCTAGTTGTCTCCTTGTTGCTTGTGCGATTTCCGCTCATTATTGTTGCAATCAGCCAGACAAAGGCACACACACACACAGGACAGCCAGGACACACAGGACACTCAGCTCATGGACATAGAATTTATGCGTGTTTATTTTTTTTTGATTCGTGCGCCCAGACACTATGTGAAGCATATCAATAAGGCCTGCGCCGGATGAAGACTGATAGCTGGAGTTATGAAAATATCAAATTGTCTGACGTCCATCGGCGATTTGATTATGCTGCCATTTGTCGCAGCCTCATGATGGACAGCTGCCACCCATAATATGTGCATGTGGACTTCTGCCATAATGCCAACTCGGCTGCGGAGTGTCCATTAAAATTCAATTGGTTTTGGGTCTACGTGCGCTGGCTGCTCGAGACAAAAGCATAGATTTTTTCCATTTCCCCTCTCATTTTTTTTTTGCATAATTCGGCCATTAAGACAAAAGTTGTTCATTGCCAGCCACAGTCTCGGTCTTCGTGGCCGTCTCAGTCACTGAGTGCAGTCGAAGGCGGCGCAAAGTCTATGCCAGATAAGCTTCGCCTCATTAATGCACCCAAAAAACATTAGCCAAATGCGAGTGTGAAAAGTGCATAACACTTTGTTGTTATCTGGGCTGGGCGCCAACTTTTGCATTATTTCAAATGCATGAGGGAGTCCTACCAGTCGACCAGTTCTAATTAAAAAATATCCATCAGCAACTGACTGGGAAAGTCTTCAAAACTTAAAGAATGCCAACATCTAAAGCTATGAAGAAGAGTCATAAGTATCTATAAGCGAATGCATTTCTGATCAATCAGCTTGACACTTTGGAATAAGCTTATACTGGCTTATGAGGAATCAGTGCTATAAAGGCAAATAGTCGCAGAGCTCAGTTATCTGGTCTGGCTAGCAGTAACAGGTTAATCAAATTAACTTGCAATATTGTTGAATAGAATAGAGAAGAGCATGAATAAACCTAGATTCAATATGCATATGCTGGCTTATAGGCCCACTCCATAGTTAAGGATAAGGCTCAGAGTCTAGGACAACAACTTATAAGGAAAAAAAGTCGAATGTTGCCGTCGATCATCTGACTAATACTTGTTCACCAGCTTTAAAAGCTTTAAGAGGTATATATATAAATGTATATATATATATATATATATATATATGTATATATATATATATATATATATATATATATATATATATATATATATATATATATATATATATCTTGAATTTTCAATCATGTCTCTAGCTCGTTAACTAATAGGGCGTATTGGGAAATTCTTAACACTGTATAAGCTGAAGGTACCCACCAGTATGTATTCCAAATTTGATGAGATTGTACATAATCAATATACTCGACAACAATATGAACAGTGGCAAGTTGACTATGTGCTCGGTCTTTAGTCCTTGAGTACTGCGATAAGAACTTTTTTGTTTATTCCATTCAAGTGATTGAACCTTTTATAAAGAGTTAACTAACATAGTTTTCTCAGTGGCTTTGATACCTCAAGAAATGAACACATCTCAGATTTCATAAGTCATCTTTAGACAAGTCTCTAAGTGAGCCCAGTTGCCAGCCTCCTCAGCCATGCCGAGCTCACAGGTTCTCGATCGTTCAATAGCAAGTCACGCATTTGGAAATGCTCTTCAAGTGAAATGTCAATCGGCTGAGTCAAGAAGAAATATGATTTGCTAAATTGGTTATTATAATTTAACGACATGCTTCTGGGTATTCCCCAGAGAGCTTTCTGCTCTTCGATAAAACAGCAAGAATTTTCGGCCACACACAAACGGCTCGTAAATTAAATGGTTCGTTTTTATTTTGGTTTTTGTTTTTGTTTTTCTTTTGCTTTGGCTAAGTTTTATTGATGCCACCGTGCGCTGGCAGCGTCTCCAAGCGAAGCGTTCAGGCTGCTCAAATAAATTAACACAAATATCGAGCAGATCGTGCATCAAATTTCCATCAAATTAACGCTTGCTGCTGCAGCTAGGAAATGCGGACGGAGTAATTAACTGAGCCGCCGATGTCGGCTGCCTGGGCGGATGTCTTGGCAACATAGCCGACCGTCCCTACGTCCGCTCGCCCCCCTTTTCGAAAGGCGTGTGGAAGAACGGGCTGGGGCGTGCGCCCCATCGGTAAAGTTGAAACGGGGTCAAGCGGTTGCATTCCCCGTTTGGCTTTCTTTGACCGAAAATAGCACAGACGCACAAATATAATAATACGAATGAAGCAGGCGACAGGCGTGAGGCGCGAGCAGACGTGGGTGGAGGCGAGCACAACGGAAAAGTGCGCAGCCCAAACAGAGAGAATTGATAACTTTGTGGTGTTCGCTCCAAAAATAGTTGCGCAGTCAGTGCTTCATTTCATCCGGCTGCTGCGTGGCCATGCTGCGATTGGAGTTCGTGGCTGCGGCTATGCTTGAGTCTATGGTCGATAGTCCATAGTCTGTGCTCCGTGGCCTATAGGGGATAGTTAAACGCAACGCCTAACAGCACACAGCTCATTTGAGAGTCTGTGCCGCATTAATTCATTACCGTCATCAATGCTGGACACAAAGGCGACTCAACACCATTCGATTGACCGACCAGACGTGCCTAAACATGCGTAGCCCTGTGGCTCTCCTCCCTTGGCCACACAGCTCCAGACAGCCGCATGCAGACAGGCAGCGCACGGGCTGGGGCAGGTCAGGGAGGATCCTTCTATAAATACAAATCAGTTGAACGAAAAGAAATACCCCAGACTTGGCTATCATTTTGATCCTTCTTAGGCAAGCTTTTTGGGCTGTATGTGAATTACGGTATGGCCTATGAAGTCTCTTTAAACAACAATTCCCCACTGACATCGATCTTTAAGGTCTTTAAGGTCTTTAGGTCAAGTTTCCTTAACTTATTTTGGCTGGGCTCAGCTTAAAGCTGACCACAAAAATATTTGGAATCAGAAAATAAGAAACTTTTCCTTTCTTTCCCATCGACTACTTGTTCCAAACAGAACAGCAGGGTGCATAGACGTAGGACTCTGGTGCCTCGGATAGCTTTAAGCAAAAGGAAAATAATTCCTAACTTTAATTCAGTTGGAAATAAGTAAGAACAGGGATGAATATCATTTGAAAATAAGAGTGTTCTAGGCGGGATTATTCGACTAGGAGATGTCCTGACTGTGAGCAGTATCCCAAAAAATGTTTGTAGAAATGGGATGTCTTCATGGACTTTATTTGGTTTGATTAGTTCCAAGCAAGTCCTAGATATGCCCGATTGACTGATGAGTAATAAGAAGAGTAAAACTTGAACTACGTCTGACATAGAAGGATCAACCGACCTATAGCAACCCATGCTTAGTCTATAAGCAACCAAATTTAGTTATTCACTTTGCGATTTGAATCTTATGAAAATTGTCCCACAAGCAATGCCTGTCTAAAATTCTTATTTGTAATACTGAATAATCTATTTTCAGAGCGATAAAAACATTATTTTAACAACGGAAACATAATTTTTTTAGATCTATAAAGATTTATTTTTTATAACTATTTGAAATATATATTTATATATATCCGAAATGCTATAAAAATTAGCAATATATTTTTAATATGTATTTTTAAATTATTGCTGTTGCCAGAGCACTGTGACGTCTCTGTTGTCAATTCAGCTGGGAACTTTTTCTGCCAGCTTTAAGCTCATAAGTTGCGCAGGGTTCTAGTTGAAGACAAACAGTTCAGCTAAAGTTAAAGAGCTTTTAGCATGATTCTGTACCAAAGCTCAGCAAGCTTTTATAGCTTGCCAATGCAGCTAAAGCTTTTTGCTCAGTGTCTAAATCACATATTCAGACAGAAGCTGCAAAGCTTTTAAAGAGCTTTTACACAGAACTTTCATGTGAACTTTCATTAACGGTTTTTATGTATTGACTTGGAACTTACCTGAAAAAATAGTGTAAACGCTACCCATTGATAATATTTTGTGTGCTTTATTGTTAGAGGGCCACGCCCCTGTGAATTGTGAATTCCAGGAAAAGGCACCTCGGAACCTTGCTTTTTCATGAACGCATCCACAACTGTATACGTTGAGTGTATCCAACAATATGTGTTGAGAACATCTTCCGGAATGTCTCTGCAAAGGTATATATATGAAAAAGATGTATATATATCTAGAGAGAGGGCTGTGCCACTTGATGGAGGTCTTACCTTGTGTGTACACAGTCTATGGGGTTTCCTACGTACTGCCGCGTTGTCACAGCAATCGAGAATGTGATCAGTAAAATAACCGTTGCGTTTGTGTGCAGGCGAAAAACAGGTGAATCGATTTTGACATGAGACACCTACATATATATGCAGATATATATACATATATATGCATATGGGTTATCGCGTTGTGTGTTGGAGTATGCGAAGAGAGAGAACATTATTATTAAGCGAATTGGCAGCGGGTGAGTAGAGGGCGGGGATATAAATTGAAAATTTTTCGTTTAATGCAGAACTGTTACACAAATTAGCTAAGTTTAACTGTATCATAATTAGTTGGTTTTTCTCATCTTCTTCTTCTTCATATTGTTTTTCGTTTGAAGTGTGCTTTATAAGTATTTTATAAGTAGTATATATGTACATTAACTTATATGGCAGGGTTAAGGTTCTTTCTTCTTTCTTCTTTATCTTCTTCTTCTGCTGCTGCTTCTGCTTCTTATAATTCTTCTCTTATGTTTCTTTTTCATAACAAAGACTTGATTTGATTGCTTCTTACAATTAGTGTAACTGTCTTACAAGTTAACAAAGCGAGAGAGAGAGTTAGACAGACAGAGAGAGAGAGATAGCGAGAGAGAGAGAGAGGAAATCATCTGCCATATGTACAGGTTTTCATATACAAAAGGTTTGCTTTGCTGCCGCACATTGGGCCTAATTCGAGGGACGAGTACCAGGATCAGGACCAGGCTGAACAGCCTGACGAGCCAATGGCAATGTGGGTAAGTCCCTTTCTCGGCTGCTGTTCAGCTGGATCGCGCCTGGCTGCCCGGAGGTTGTTAGTTAATCGATATGAAATAAATACAATTTTCAATTTCGAGTTGGCGAATTGAGTTCGGATTGGAAATTTAATTATCATATAAGTATAGTAAGGTGTCACAGCAATATGGTAATTTTCAGACCTGACTTTTCGTTGGATATATATTATAGGAAACGAAAGCAAAAAACCAAATATATATAGAAATGAAAAGGAACGATAAATCAATTTTGGTGTGGAGTGTAAAACGAATTGCGAAGTATGCTTGACTAGCAATTGGCTATAGAATTGCTGGGAATGCAAATTTAGGTCGAGGTTTCCACGTTCATGATGAGGCGGCCAGCCGACTGAAGTGTGAGTGAAAGCGAGAGACAGAGAGAGAGAGAGAGATGTGGAGAGATATAGCGAGAGAGAGAGAGTGAGATGATGTCGCACTTCAGCTCTGGGCCGCCTTCTGATGTGCTGAATGCCAATCGGGATTTTCGGGTGATTCACTGATTGGCGTGAGATTTCAGTTTGATTACTGAATTTTGAATTGGGCTTTTGGAATTTTCGTACTTGAATTTAGCTGTTCGTAACGATGACCACTCAATCGATATTTTATTTTTTATATTTAATGGTTTCACTTTTGACTTTCGGCTGACTATGAGAAGTTTATAAAAATCAAGAAAATATACGCAAACATCTGAATGGCAGTAACATAAAAAAGTCTCGTGAAACGGTCTCGTAATACCCATGAAATTTCGATAATGGCTTCTCAATTTCTGCAAATTGAATGCACAGATTTGTATTTGGTGGTTTTTTGGTGGTTGGGTGGCTGGGTGGTTGAGTGGTTGAGTGGTTGGTGGTTTTTTCTTGTTAGTTGCTTGTTTCGTGAAGAAGTTGAAATGTGATCGCGTCAGAGTATTTAGTACAAAACAAATCTGGCGCTTGGCTATCTTTTAGCTGTGGTGAATTGTGAGCTGAGCTGTGGTGAATTTATGGTATTCAACTTGCTTGAAAACGTGATCAAAATTCTAAACCCGGTGAATTGGTGAACGGTGAGCGAATACTTGCGATTATGAGTGTGATCGTTATCGTGGTAACTTTGTCTTGTGATCGTGGTGAGTTTGTGGTGGTGGTGGTGGTGGTGGTGGTGGTGTTGGTGGTGGTGGTGGTAGTTCGTGGTACAGTGAGCAATAAAAATTGTGTGCTACAGCTGAAAGCTGTGCATGTAATTGTAAGAAAATTGCGAGACGAAGAGTGTGTAGAGAGAGAGTATGTGTGAGAGTGAGAGAGAGAGAGAGAGAGAGAGAGAGAGAGTGAACGTGATAGTGTCTGTGGACACAAAAATGAAACATTTGAAAAGAAAGTTAAGGAAAACATATACATATTATAGTTATTATAAAACTGTAGAAGATGGTGTGAACAACTAGATGTGTTTGAATTGAATGGAGAAAAATGTACGAACAAATTTGAATTAAGGTGTAAATTTGGTACGTTAATTCTAAATATATTCAACACAGTACAAGTAAGAGTAAGACAAACAGACATATACATATATTTGTAAATATATATAGAGGTATATACGATTATATGTTATCGAGCGATCTGCACTCGCTGCAGATGCCAGCTCGAGGACTTTGCTTCCAAATCGTTGCTCAGCTGGCCAACTGGCAATTGCTCAACATATTTAAAACTAATATTAAGTATTTTCAGTTAACAACATTGTTAGTTGGTTAATTCAATTCAATTCAATTCAATTCTATTGACCACTATAAATATTTACAAATTTCAGTTAATTTCTTCTTCTTCTTCTTTTTTGATTGTAAATATTGTGGTTATATTTGATGCTTGTATCGATTCTGTGTGTTTCATAATCGGAATTGTTTTGGATAGCTTAAGTGTTACTAGATGTTCGGGCTTTCAACATTTTATATGGGGAAACAAGTATTTGATGTTGGTTCATATTTAATTTTAGTTTAGTTTTTGTTTATATAATATAATATATATATTATATAATATATTTGGGTATTAGCTGGTCGACAAATACACATACACAAGTTAAATACAGATAGAGAGAGAGGCAGAGAGAGAGATAGAGATTGGCGTAAAATTATCATTTATAATTGCTTTATATTAGCTTGGTCTGTTAGCGGCATTTTTTGGTAATTGGTAATTGGTAATTGGATTAATTTAGCTTTTGACTTGGCTTTGAGTTGGCTTGGCGTGGGTGATAGTCTGTGATTGCGTGATTGATAGTTAAGTTTACTGTGACAGTTGGTGATTGAGTGTGTGAGTGAAGGTATTGATAGCTGAGTTATTTAATCAATTTCATTTATAGATTTAATTGTGATTTGTTTAATTGGATTTTCATATTTTTCGGCTTGTTTTTAGTCTGATGAGTATAGGTATATTTATATATATTTTAAGTGTTCGAGAGTTGGTGAAATACAAAGGAAGAAAAAAAACATAATTGAGTTGCTGCTGTTGTTGTTGCTTGTTGTTGTAGTAGTAGTAGTAGTAGTTGTTGTTCTTTGTTGTGATCTAAACGAGTACGTTGTGAGCGTCGCATCCGCTTGCTGAATACGCGCCAGTGTTGGACAATACTGAATGCCTGGCCATTCCGCAGTGAAAGTGAGAAAGTGGCGAGTGAGTGGTGAGTGAGTCGGTGGTGACTTGGTGGCTTGGTGAGTGGGCAAGTGGGCGAGTGGGCGAGTGGGCGAGTGGGCGAGTGGGCAAGTGGGCGAGTGGGCGAGTATAGTATAGTAGGTGATCAAGATCAGCTAACGAGTGAGCGCACGCAGCGATTTGTGGTGTGTGAGCGAGTGGTGGAAACTGAGTGAAATTGAAAGCACTAAATAAGTAAGTTTCTTAGCGTACTTGGAAAACTGCATGTGTGTGTGTGAGTGTGTGTGTGTGTGTTCAAGTGTTGTTCTACTTTTGAATACTTTTCTTAATTTAAGAGTAACTCGCTAGCTGGCCACTGTGGGTGTTGGTTGGTGTCCAGAGGTGAGATTGCATATTTAACATTTTGTTTTGTTTTTGTTTATTTGTGTTTGCTTTGCTTGTTGTTGTTGTTCTCTTTCTTTTTTGTTTGGTTTTGCATTTAATTAGGTGATTTGGTTTTCATTGTTTTTGTTGATTTGTTTGTGTAAAGTGATTTTGGTTTTTGGTGAGAGCCAGTTGATATTTTCGTCACAAATTGTTCAACAATTTCTATATATTTTTGCTGTTTTTTTGTTTCTTTTTTTTGGTTTTTTTTATTATTTTTGCGGGTGAGGTTTATGTTCAAATTTGATTTTATTTTATAAAATGTTTTTTTTTTTGGTTTTTTAATTAATTTGTTTGTTTAAGTTTGAAATTTATGTGAAACGTTTTTATTGTTTTGGTTTCAGTTTTTCTATGTCATTGTAAGCACATTCGAGGGCGAGAGCGAACAAGAGCGATGAGTTTGAAAGTGTTTTTATTTTCTTCTTTCTTTATAAACATAAAATAGGCGTTAATCACAAGTGTAATAAACCAACGGGAAAAGAAAAGCAAAAAAAGGTGGCAGAAAGAGAGAAATCAAAAATTTGCTACTGAACACAACGAAATAAAGCGGGCAAAGCAACGCAAGGCCAACCCGCACATACATAAATATAGCGAAGTGGATTCTGTGTGGATTCACAGTCCCCAGGTCCAAGTTGCCCTAACCTAATACCCGCTGTGTGTGCGTGTGTGTGTGCGTGTGTAATAAGCATCATGTGAGCATGAACTGAAGTGAAGTGACTTACGCTTACGGGCTGATTAACAAAATGGCATTTCCCCAACTGGCTGCAATGGCTATGCGACTGACTGACTTCTGCCCAGTAGCCATAACAATGTATTTGATGCCCTCCAAACAGTAAAAGGCGGAAGCTGCTGGGACTACAAGGCAATAACAGAGCGACACAGGGAGGGAGAGAGCTCGTTTTTGCTATTAGAACAACATTGGCAATACATTCGGGCAATAAAAATAAGTTTTGTTACAAAATACAGCTCACTGGCTTAGCCAGCTTTGCGCTCTGTGCTCGAGTGCTCTCCGAGTGCCTAAGGCAGCACACACATGATGTTGCTGTTGTTGCTGTTGTTGCTGTTGTTGCTGCTGCTGTTATTATTATTCTGCTTGCTGCGCGCACAGTGTCTGCCACTTATGCCTCATTAGGATGCGTCTAAGAACTCTTACAGTAATTCAATAATAAATTAAAGTCAAGCGCGAGGCGTCAAGCGCCAAAGTGCCACAGAGTGTCTAACAAGAGCGAAGCAACGGCAACAAGAAAAGGCTCAAAGTTTATGGCTTTGCCTTCAAGCCAAACAAGCTTCGGC